GCCTCCTCTTATCCAGCCTGAACAGCCCCAACTCTCAGCCTGTCTCCAGAGCAGAGGTGCTCCAGCCCTCAGATCATCTCCATGGCCTCCTCTGGACCTGCTCCAACAGCTTCATGTCCTTCTCGTGTGGGGGACCCCAGAGATGAATGCAGAACTGCGGGGGGCGTCAATGCCATGGGTGTCCCCCATACTGTCCTCTCCTGGCAAGAGACCACACTCCAAGACCTAGAGGAGCTGGAAGGTGGCTTCCAGCCACCCCAGCAGGCTACGAGAGACCAGGTGGTCATGACGAATAACCAAAGAAACAGCCCCTTGTGCATCTCCCATAATGCCCACGAGCCTCAGGCTGTAACTCCCTTCTCCAGGGCTGTGGGTAAGATTTACCTGATAGTTTTATCCTCTGAGGTCTGGATGACATAAGGTTCCCCAGGAACCCAGCACAGATGTGTGACCTGCGGAGAGGAAAGGGTGAGCAGAAGCCCACCTCTGCGCAAAGCCCAGGCTGGTGTCCACCTGTAGATACACGGCCCCCGAGCTCCCCTCTCCTCTCCCTCCTCGTGCTGGGTAGTCAGCAGGAAATGCTGGATGACTTTTTTTTCTGCTTCCCACTGATGCTGTTCCCCTACAGGGTGTGATCCCTGTGTGGTTACTGGGGGTTATTTGAGGAGGTGCCAACAGCTCAACAGGACACAGAGCCATGGGAACAGAGGTACCACGGGCACCAGAAGACAGTAGCAGAACCAGCCCCCTCTGGACAATGTGCTTCCTAACTGCTCCGAGTTAGAGCGTTGACAAATTGCCCTACGTCTCTTGGTATGTTTGCGCTCCTGGATTTGTTGTTACCTGGAGAACAGAGTAACCAGCCTCAAGCTTCGGTGTCCCCAGGTGCAGAGGGAACCTGTGCGGTGCCTCGAGGGCGTCTCGTAGCACCAAGCTCAGAGCAAATTCACTCTACACAGCTTCACGTGTGAAACAACCGAGCAGGTGGTGAGGTGCCGTGATAGGATGCAAGGAACCAGCAGCTCCTACCAGATTCCTGGAGATCGCAGCTCTGCCCAGACACTCTCCAGTCTCTGTGTCCCACTTGCACACGGTGTTGTCTCGTGAACCCGTGCACAGCTGGGAGGCATCTGCAACCACCAGTTAACATTGGAAAATTTTCAATAACAGTTGTCAAGAAATCTCTGGGGAATGGCAGCGTGTTGTTCCTCACCCGGGCTCACAGCCAGCCCAGTAACAACCAGCTCATGTCCTGGGAAGTGCTGGCTTGGCCCCGAAGCCCCATGAAGCTCCCACATCATCACCGTCTTGTCCCGGGATGCGCTGAAGACTCTGTTGGAGTCAAGGGCAGAGG